GAGAATGTATGTCACTTGTCCAAGGTGTCCCAACAGGCTAGGCTGGTGAGGAAGTGGGGAGATGAAGGTGTGAAGGGGGATCCCACCCTCTGGGGTGCCCAGGGGAGCCAGCCCTTCTAAACCCAGAGGCCGCAGCCGCAGGAATCCAGGGACTCCTGCTTTGGGGAGCCTGGGTTCCTGGAGTATCTGCTGGCAAAGAACAGACTAACAGATGGGAATGCCTTCTGGAACCCTCCCTCAGGTTTCACCTAGTGGGCAGCTCTGTCCATTTCTGGAAAAGTCCTGTCATATTGTGAATTACAACAAGAAACAGATATTCGGCCTTTGTTCCATTTCTGGCAAGAGTTCCTAAAACTCTTGGAATTTCCTAAGTCAGAAGAACAATGAAGGTTTTTATCATGTTAAGAGTGACCACTAGAACTCACTGGACGGGCTGGCTGGCGGCCTGGAGAGACAACCTTGCACTTGGAGGGCTGGAAGCTTCAATCCCACCCCAGAGCGCCAGGGAGGGAACTGGCTGGAGGTTGAGCTCAATCACCAATGGACATGGATTTCGTCTATGAGGGAACCTCCCAAAAATCCCACAAAGAAGGGGTGCGGATAGCTTCTAGGCTGGTGGATGGGGGAGGCTGGGGGGGAGAGGTGGCAGCCCTGCGGGCGTGGAAGCTCTGCATCCCGCCCCCCGCTCCCTGCCCCCGGGTGTCTGAGTTCTCCCGGTGTAATCGAGCAGGTGATCTGGCTAGTGAAATGTTCCCAAGCCCTAGAAGCTGCTCTCGCGGGTGGACTGGCTTCGACAGACGTGTCCTTGAGAAGCCCAGGTGGCAGCTGGCCGGACCTGCGATGGGCATCTGAGTGGGATGGGAGGGGCGGGCCTCAGGGTGGGCCGGGAGGCATCACCAGGTCCTCCAGGCTGACACTCCCAGCTGGGGCTGGGGAACTGGTGGGGGTGTGCGGAACACCCTCAACTCAGAACTCCCCTTCACTCCTGTTGGAGTGCGAGTCAAGAGCCTGGCAGATACACCCACAGGTGAAGCTACAACAGGGGGCTCCCTCCTCAACCTGGTGGCCAGGCTCGTGTCCCTGCTGCTAGGTGAAGACTAAGCAAAAGGCGAAGGTGTGAGCTAAGCCCCAGCTCCAGGCCTGACCCAAGGCCAAGCGCCAGGCTGTTCTCACCTGTTACCTGGGGAGAATAACGACTACATTAGAAGGTAATACAGGTATTTTCCCTGGGATAGAAGTGTGAGAAATGGCACAGCAGCACTAGGAACAGCCATATAACCACCATTTTGTTGTGTGATTGCTATGCCCAGTCACTGCACTGAAATTTCAATGTTTGTTTTTCTTCCCTTTGCCCCCACACATCAGCCAGAAGGGAAACTATCATTTGACATCAAAGTCCACTCTGACAGAAGATGCTGGGGGCCCAGAGACGCCTTAGGCCACACAGCACAGGAAAGATCTAAAGACATTCACACCCAGACGGGAGACCAGAGCTCAGGTCTCAACCACAAATCTCCTCTACTGGGTGTATTTTTCAAACTGAGTCGGGCCCAGTATTCAGTCATTTATTTACTGGAGTTTGATGTATTTCACCAAATCAGGAAAGCTGACTGACCGGGAAATGCTTCACAGGATTGCACCATTTTAAACTTCATCTTAAAGTCCTGGGTTCCCCCCAGGAAGGTACCCACACTCACTCTTAATACCCAAAGTCAATGAGGGCAATTCTGGAGGACTCCTGAATTGCCGACCAGTGCTGGCATCTGCACAACATACACCCTTCCCCCCTTGGAGCCAGCAATTCCAATCTCTTGACCCAAAGGGGAGGGTGCCCCGAGGGGCGGGGCTCAGAGTTCACAGGACAGAGTCTAGAGATGGGTCACACAGCACCATGAGTACACTGAACACTATTCAGCTTAGACTTAAAAATGGTTAAGATGGTCAAGTTTATGTTATGTGTGTTTTACCACAATTAAAAATAGAATGAAAAAAAAAAGTTCATAGCAGAGTGGTTTACAAGAAAGAGAAACTGCAAATAGCCCATCTCCCATCACTAGCATTAATTAAATAAACGCTGTATTACCCAAACAAATCAAAACAAACCAGAGCAGGGGTCAACTGACTGCAGCCCCTGGGCCCAATCCAGCTCATTTTACTAAATAAAGTTTTATTGGCACACAGCCACATCCATCGTTTGCATATAGTCAATATCTGGCTGCAATAGCAGAGGGGACCACATGATCTTACCCCAAATACATCCTCTTTCCAGCCCTCTAAGAAAAGTGTGTTGACCCCTGATTTAGAAGGTGAAAGAAGCAGAAAAATCTCAGAAATCAGGGGGAGGAGGGCCTCCCTGGGCAGCACTATGAGGCTATCAGCAGCCACTGCAGCCTGAGTTCCATCCCTGGCCAGGGAGCCGACCCTCCCTGCTGCTCCCCTCGGCAGTGTATGTTAGTCAATCCACCTGTTCTGCTCCCCACTCTGTCCCTGGTGAATCTCTCACCCCCTGCACCTCTGATTCTTGTATGCATAAACAAACGAGAAAAAATCTTTAATAATTAAAAAAAATCTGCTAAACATTACTCTCTCCAAATCCTGCTGCCTGCTATGTCAGGGGACAGAGCAGAGACCTAGAAGGCTTCTTGGAAGAGGTGTCAGGGAGGGGTGAGGACAAGAGCAAACCTGCTTCTCAGCCTCAGCTGCCTCTCAGTGAAATGAGCCCCCACCCAAGAAAAGACAGACCAGCAAGCCTCAGGTGAGATGGCCAGTGGCCAGCCTGTCGTTTATGGCCTATAAAGCCATCAACCCAGGTGGGAGCCAGGGCCCCTTGCACAAGACTCTTTATCTAGGAGAACTCACATTCCAGCTTTAGAGCAGCTGCCATGAGCTACTCATTAACCAGCCCAGGGCGGGGCTGGACAGGGAGCGAGCACCAAGGCTGGGCGGATGGCGGGCGCGGGGGGGTGGTGTGCCACCAGCGGGGAGTGACCTTGAGGGGAGTCAATTCACCTCTGAGCCTTGGTGTCTCTGTCTGTGCAATGGAGACACACTGTCAGTGTCCCTCCTCCCAGAGCTACCGTGAGATGGCAGGAAGCGCGAGGTGCCCGATGCATCCTAAGCAGGTATGCAAAAATGTCACTTTGACAAAGACAGGCGCACCCACCTCTGTTGTAGGGTCAAATGCCAGTGCCACATCGAGCTCACTACTGATGAGGTCAATAAACATGCGAGATTACCCTTGTTGACACTGATGAGTGGGACACTGACGTGGAGCGGACGCTCCATGCCCGCCCACCTGGCAGCTGCTCGGGGAGGTGTCCTGAGCCAACAGGGACGCACCCGGCTTCCTGCCGGCACATACGGGGTCCGTGGCTATTCCTGACTGGGGTCGGGCTAGGGGACGATGACAGGGATGGAACTGAGTCCAATGTACCGGCGGCGAGCCCAGCAGGGCTCTTTAGCACTTGTCCTGCAGTCCTGACTACCTGGGTGAACGCAAGTCAACCGAACCCCAATCCTGGACCGCAGAAGCTTGTCCAGGGCCACCTTTCTCTTGAGAAATCTCTGCTCAGGCAGCCGGGTATTTCAAGGAGCTGAACCTGCAGGTGGGTCATCCAACCGGCGTACGGGATGACGGCGATTTTCCTGGTGCTGTCGTGTGACTGACACACACACTGGGACAGCTTCAGAGGTGCACACCACGACCCAGCCCTCAGTCTACGAGGGAACAGCCGAGAACCGAGCCTGGCAGCTGCGAGGCCATGCGCATCGTTGTGAAACTCGGTTTCAGTTTTGTGTGTGTGCCTGTGTGTTTGTGAGTGCGCGTGTATGTCTCACGGAAGGTCACAGCAGTTTTACATAACCCCTGCCATACGCTGTTTTCATCAAAATGAATGAAGACACCCACAGAAAAGTGACCACCTTTGAAAACACTTGTTACCCTGAACTGGGGGGAAAAGCTTCTGTAAATAGAGATTTCGGGAACATGCCATTAGGTCTGTAGATTAGATAACAGAACTGTGTCAATGTTAAATGTCCTGGGGTTGATAACTGTGTGGCTTGTTTCAGAGAGTGAATGGCCTTGCTCTTGCGAAATACACGCTGAAGGATTAGGGCTAAAGGGGCACCGTGCCTGCAACCGACTCCCTAATGACTCAGCAAAACAAGGAGACGGTGTGACTGTTCTTACAGCGGGAAAGAGATGAAGCCGCCACAGCAAACCTGGTCACTGACTTCAGTGAAGGGCACACGGGAGGTCAGGGTAATATATATATATATGGGCCCTCCCTGGTGGTGCAGCGGGTTAAAGCACAGCACTGAGAAGCTAAAGCCACTTCCACATGAGTTCGATTCCCGCCTGCCC